GGATCACTGGGTATTCTTCTTCACACCGCTTTAGGAACTAGGGGCTGAATTTGAGTTGATGCTACTGTATATCAGGAGTGACTCCATTGATTTCAATGGAGTTACACTGGCATAAGTATATAGTGTCAGTTCAAGTGAACTCAGAATCAGGATCCCGATCTTTTCTTTTCTTGTGTTGGTAAAAAGTTTTTTGTTCTCCAATTTCTAAGCAGCTGTCAGGCACTCCTGGTATGCAGGAAGCGGGGAGGAAAGCAGGCTATAGGCAGGGAGAATTTTCAGACTAATGCCCTAAGCCATTTCAACTATGTAATGCCTATTGTGTTTGTGTTAAAGAATTTGGGGGGCAAGGAGGGAGAGAGAGGGGGAATGCCAAAGATCCCAGGATCAGGAATTGTATATGCAACATTTTTCTTTGTTGGGTCATCCCTTGTTTTCTATACTGAGAGAGATTTTGGCCAGATCTTGAGCTGCAGTCGGGGCAGTGTGGGTGAGAGTGCAGGGGGATAGTCTTAAACAATCTTTGTCCCTTTGGATCCTGGGCTGATCTGTGCTAGGCCTATTCCTCTAATTCTCCCCCACAGTGCAACTTAGAGGATTTCTCCAAGGGCTGAAGGCTACTAACTTCTTCTGGCTGTTCTAGGCCTGTTCCAGCAGCTGGGGTTCAGTTGGGCATAAGGATACCCCAACAACACTACTTTTCCCGTAGCCATGTCCCCTGCCTCCACCACAGAGAAGAGTGAGCAGTTTTACCTCGCCAGAGAAACCCACTGGCAGAGCAGCATAAGGCAGCTGTGGATCCAGATTCTGTCCTCTGCTCCAGCCCCTTTATGCTACTGGAGCAACTGAGGGTTCTGGAATAACCAGCTGGCTATGTTAGGGAGGAGCACAGGGGTGTGCCATGGGTGTGGACAGCGTATGCTTTTTTGCTTCCGTGAGCCCTGGCCATGGTAATGGCCCTGAGGGAAGGGAGCTTAGAATAGTGGAATTTGAAATAGAGACTGCTCTGGGGTTAACCTAGCCCTTAGCAGCCCCTGAGGCCGGGGGAGAGTCCTTCCTCCGGCTGCATCGAGTGGCTCTCTGATGCAGGTGAAGATCTGGCCCTTTGACTTGAGGGGAGGCCATTTTACTCTGAGGGCAAAGGACCTGCTTTTCTATTTCACACTGGCTTCACGCTGGTCTGATTCCATTGACCTTAAAGAGTTACTCTTGACTCACGCTGGTGTGACTGAGAGCAGAACCAGGCCTAAAGGATCTAATTTTAGTGCCTCCATTCTAGTCCCTCCTTCTCACCCTTCAGCAAAGATAATTTGATTGGTATGCTGCGGCTGACCATATCTGTGCCCCTTGCATCTGTAACCCAATGGTGGGTGGGTGTTATTCTGTGCTGATATGCAGAGAATATGAGTTGTTCTAGCCTACAGCTAAAGCTCAAGCTGTAGCAGCTCATATGTTTAGCTCTGGAGGTCCCTGATCCAGTCCCCAGTGTGACAGCCAAGAGGGCAGTTGTCGCACACTTGGCATTCCAGACACACATGGAGTAGGGTAGGCATTTAGTGTCAGCTGTTGGTGTTGGTGAGGTGATGGAAGAACCAAAAAAGCATGAACAATATCACCTCCCTACCCAGCTGAGTGGGACTTGCTGAGTTCTTTGGTTAGGTTTGCTTGTGATGCTTAACAAGAAATGAAGAAGCCAGGTATTCAGAAGGCCCAACCCGTCTGTCCTAATATGCAGAGGGAGACTTGCCTGCACAAGGATGTCAGGATCATTTCTGTTTCCCCTTTAAGACCACATCTTGTCCAATCTCCTAGCTGGCAAAGGATGGCTGGATTTGGCTCCCACTGGAACCAACCAGCACCAGTCCTGAATCTGTAGGGAGCCACTCCAGAAATGATCATACAGAGGTGGCACCAGCAGGGGTTGAGGAAATGATCTAGATAACTACACGTAGCTTCCCTGTGGAGTACTGTATTATGCTGCTGTAAGGCAGCTCTCTTCTGGAGACTTCTCAAGGTGTATTTGGAATGGCTGATCACCATAACATGGTCAGGTTAAAAGATGGCTACTCTTGGTCATCTCTTTGTGCCAGTGTCTGGAGTGAATCCTTTTTTTAACCCAGCTGCTCTTGTTTTATGCATTTAATGGAATATCTGAGGACAAAAACACTCACATGGCACTGATTGTCAGAATGAAGGTGAGTTTATAAACTGGAGGAATAAAAACCTCTTCAAATGAGACCTATGGCATGGGATCTTTTGTAGCATCTGAAGGCTGTGGAGATGTGGAAAACTCTGAGCCGCAGCCAGCTCCAAAATGGAACCAGAGGAAGGTCCTTGGGAGTGCAGAACAGAGGAACTCTGCATTGGTATTAGCTGAAGGAACAAATGCTGGGGGCATGCGCTAGTTTTCCTGCATACTGATCTGGCTTAGCCTTTTTTACAGGCATGGTCAGGGTACTGGGAGTCAGGCCCCTTCCTGGCTCTGCTACTGACTTGGTGCGTGACCTGGGGCAAATGACATAAGCTTTCTGTGCCTCATCCACCAATAGTAAAATGGGTATTATAACGCCTACCTTCCTGGGGCATTGTGGGAGTGAATGTTTTTGTAAAGGAGTCTGAGCCCCTCCGGTGGAAGGTGCAAGAGGACTTACAACAATATTTGCTTTACAACCTTTGGTCAGAGTTGCCTTAACACAATGCATATCAGATACTTAACCAATGGGCAGCCTTCCATGGAACGATTCCCAATCAGCTTTAAAACCCACTTCTCAGGAAACTATTTTCATCATGTGGTGCTTGGGATTTACTGCAATGGCCGGTACGGGTCACTGGGCATGAGCAGAAGATCAGACCTGATGGACAAACCTTTGACCTATCGAACTCTGACCGATCTCGTCTTTGAATTTGAAGATTCCTATAAAAAGTATCTACATTCAGTCAAAAAAGTAAAAATTGGATTATACGTCCCACACGAGCCACACAGCTTTCAGCCCATTGAGTGGAAGCAGCTGGTCCTCAATGTAGCAAAGATGATGCGGACGGACATAAGGAAGGAGCTGGAGAAATATGCCAGGGATATGAGAATGAAGGTAGGTGCATGCCTTGGGAGTCTGGGTCTGATTTTGTTCACACTGGAGTAAATTGGGAGTAATTCTGTTGATGTTAATGGAGTTACACCAGAGTAAAACCAGTCTGAGATTAGAATCCGACCTGGTGTGTCCATCTAATCTGTCCCTCTGTGTGTTTCTCCTCAACTGTGTGTTGCATGTTTTCAAGTCCTTTTCTGTCACTTTTTATTTGTAGGATCTCTCCCTCCTCACCTGACATTTGTGGCCCAGAACTTCTCCTAGTTATAAGGGGTAAATATCCAGTCTGCTGTTAGCAAATAGCTTGCTGAGTCTTGAGCTTGGAAGAAAATCACTGAGCAGAGCTAGTGACTCTCTGGTGTCTGGAGAGTCATGTGCATGCTCCAGTTGTTGGCCCGGATTCTCTGCTGCACCGACTTGCTGCTTGGGACAGCAAAGAGGTAGTCCCAGGCTGTCAGGGAACCAGTTCTGGTTCCCTGATTCACTGCCCAGCCCCGTTGCATGTTACAGCAGCCTCAGAGCTGCTGTAACATGCACCTGCTGACAGTGGTCTCCAAGGGACCAGCTGCCAGCTGAGTATAACCAAGGGCAGCATATTCTGGCTGTGCGTCCTCTTCTGCAGTAGGAGTTGTGGGGAGGGAAGTGTAGGAACCAGCTATTCCAGCTCTTCCCCCACTGAGGATTCCTCAGAAGAGGAATTAGGATTATATTCCAACCTCTTTGTGCTGCCAAAGTCCTAACTGCCTTCCAGCCTGTTCTCACCTGTCGAGGGAGTGAGCCCTGTTATGTGTTGGGGGGGGCGGAGTGGGGAATTTCATTGTGGAAGGGACATGGTGAGGGCTCTGCGGAAGGCAGTTCTGTTGTTTCAGTGTTTCTCAAACTGCGGTCGTTGCTTGTGTAGGGAAAGCCCCTGGTGGGCCGGGCTGGTTTGTTTACCTGCCTTGTCCACAGGTCTGGCCGATCGTGGCTCCCACTGGCCGCGGTTCGCTGCTCCAGACCAATGGGAGCCGCTGGAAGCGGCGTGGGCCGAGGGACATACTGGCCGCCACTGCCTACAGCGGCGAACCGCGGCCAGTGGGAGCCGCGATCGGCCAGACCTGTGGACGGGGCAGGTATACAAACTGGCCCGGCCCGCCAGGGGCTTTCCCTACACAAGCAGTGACCCCAGTTTGAGAAACACTGTGTTATTTCCTCTGAGTCATTGGGTTAAAGTATCACCTCCTGTGCCTAACTAGGCCAACAGGGTATTAGTTTGCAGTGGCCTCCTGTGGCACAGAAAAGTCTGCTAAGAGGTACACTGTTTTCTGTATCCAATTAGAGACCTGAAATTAAGTCTGCAGATGAGTTATATGTAAAGTACTATAGCTGTCTCCAGGGTCTCATGAGCATGTGCTGTCTCATGTGAACAAATTCTCCTCAGCAGAGGACTGGAACTGGCTTACCCCTTCACTGCATCTGGTTTGGAAGTTCTGCTAGAATCCTCCCTTTCACTGATGGCAGCAGGATTGGTTCTCTGGTTTAGAATCAGCAACAGATTAATTTTTCTTTGTTATTGTTTAATCCTTAGACTGCTGGCACTTCACCGTTGGAGAGTCAGATTGAAAAGCTTAGAGGACACTTGCAGATAAAGGTCTGCGGTTGCCAAAGAGTTGAGAATATGACTCCCTTTCTGGTTGGAGATCCTGAATATGCTTCAGTGACAGCTGGGGGGGTGAAGAGCAGGTTTCAGTTGCAGTGAAATTGGATTTGATGTCTCTCCAGCCATCTGTCGGCAGTTAGGGTAAAGCAGGTGCAGTCATGAAGTGTAGGGCTGCTTCCCTTTTCCGAGAGGTATGTGGCATCATTTGTAAGTTCCTTCACGTGCCACTTCTGACTTTTTGTCTGGGCAGAGAGTACTACTTACATGTGACGTGGTCTTACAGAGCCTGCCTCTACCGTTTCAGTTTGTGCACAGGCACTGGATAGCACAATGGAAAATGGGTGGTAAATCTGCCTGAACAGAGACTTCCATGTGCTGCTGCTACAGCCCCCTCTCCTGCCACTGTCAAGGTACACGTGTGGAGGATGGGATGTGGGTCTGAAGTGACTGTCCTCATCCTGGCTTCTGTCCTCGAGCACTTTCCTCACCCAGATCATTCACCTCAAGTTAATGCCAGTGAGCTGTTCAGAGCACAGTTATGATTCCAAGAAGGCAGTGGAAGGGGAGACCCTGCCTTCCTGAATGTAAATCTGATTGCATCTGGCTTGTCTGCAGGTCAGTCAGACAATGGAACCGATTCATGCTGGGGGTTATTCTTTGGAGTTACCCCAGGGGGGAGTTTGGCCTATTGTTAGTGTCTGAGATTGTCTGGCTTATTTTGAAACCTTACAGCTTAACTTGTGTCATTGGCCAAAAACTCTGGGAGTTGGCAGTGCAGGCTCAGGTAAGCATTTGTGCTGTCCTACAGCAATACTGCAAAGTTCTACCTTGACGCCCAGCCCAATTCTAGCTGATGGGACTGTCAGGGCAGTTTATTTGCATTAAGCCTTTTAAACCTCAGAGGATATTGTAAGATACTGAATGTTGGTTTTTAACAGATAATCAAGGGCCAGAACCTGCTTGCTTTACTTCCACGAGGAGTCCCATTGAAACCAGTGCTGATTGCACAGTGGAGTCAGTGGGGCGCCTTGCAAGAGTAAGGACCAGCAGGATTCATCCCCTAAATGTAAAGTCTCCAAACGTGCCTGCATGACAGAAGGGGAGAAAACGAAAAGAGGTTGCAAGAATTGGAGCAAGACCCGTGTGAGAGAGCACATCCCTTGTTCAGTGTGGAATGTACAGTTTGGTATGTGCAGATCTCACTCCATGCACATCTTTGTCTTCATAATAAGGTCTTGTATAGCAGTTTTCATTTGTAGCTCTGTGTTTTACAAAGGAGGCAAGCACCATCATCCCCATTTTATAGAGCTCAGTGTTGTTCATCCACACTTTCCTACGAAGCTCCTCCATTTAAAAAAGGGGGGGAAATGTAACAATTAGGCCAAGGCAATGTATGTGGAATTTTTAGCTTGAGTGAATGTAGTGCTTATGCAAGCAAGGGGCTAACAGTGCAGGTCTCAGCAATATATAGTATTTGCAGGTGTCACAAAAGCTCGCATGTACAGCTTTGCCAGTGGACCCCCCATGCCAACCTGCAGCACCCTGCTCTTCCACTCTCTCTGGTGGCTTATGCTGTGCACAAATAAGAGTCCAGATACACTAGGGAAATGATCTCTTGTTGACAGTGGGTTTTCTCAAGTCAGCTGAGACCAGTGTAGTTAAGGCCCCACTGTTTTCCTTCCTTTTACGGACAGATGTGGTGTCTAGTGCGCACTAGCAGGTTTCCCTGTGATGATGGAGAAAAGATTTGTCCCCGTCAACTCCAGTTAACAGGTTTGTTGACAACAGGTCATTTGCCTAGTGTCCATCGGACCCAAATGCAGGAAGAAATACCAGATAGATTTCCATGCAGGACCAAAGAACTAGGGAGCCATATTCTTCTCTGTTCCACAGATGTAAATCTGGAGGAACTCACTGACTATTCTGGATCAACACTGATGTAACTGAGAAGAGAATGTTTCCCAGGGTCTCCAGATGTGGAAAACAAGTGTACTGTGACCCTGCACTTCTGTAACCCACACGAAAGCTTTCTAGTGTTCATGTTCAAACATGGGGCAAGATGAACTGCTGCACTTTGAGTCAGTCCCACTGTGATCACTCACTATGCCATGGGGATGAATGGAGTGTAATCTGCCACAGTAGAACCACTATGATTTATGCCAGCTGAGGAACTGGTCCCCTATTTTTTGCCTAATCTTTAAAAGATGGCTATTCCTTATGGGATTTTTTAGATAGGGAGAAGAATTAGATCCATTATTCTCTATCATACTGGAGTAAATCAGAAGTTACTCCACTGAAGTTGGTAGAATTAATGTGGTATAAAACTGTGCTAAGTGAGATGAAAATCAGGCCCAATGATGGTATGAAAGCCTTAGGCTGAAGTTATATTCTAATTTTAGTGTAACACGTTTAATTGCATATGGAATTAGAATGATTTCAGCCTTCTATTCCACATTTTTAACACCAGATAGAATGCTAGTATCTGAAGTATATTCTGATCAAATAAGCAAGCATAGATTATTTTTATTGCATATATGCATTGAGCTCTGACATTGGACCCAGCCCTTGTGCAGAAGATGGAAAGACATAGTCCTTACCTTGAGTGTTACAATTTCAAAGCCCTCATCCTGTGAAGACTTCAGCACATGCATATTTTGAGTAGCCTCTTTGGGTGAAATCCTACTTCCATTGAAGTCAATGGCAAAACTCCCATTTGTTTCCAGGGGGGGTCAGGATTTCACCCATGGACCTCCCTGGGGCTCTTCATAAGGTGTAAAGTTATGCACATGCTGTCTTTTGCAAGATCAGGTCCTTAAAATAAAAAGTGGTGTGAATGTAGTGCTGATGAAAGTCATCAGCCTAGAGGAACTCTACCCAGATGTGTGAATGGACAAGGGATGAGGAAGAAGGCCCCCTGATTGCAGAGAATCCAGCTGACAGCCCTTGAGACTCAAGTTTTGTATTCATCCATAGAACAGTTCCAGGAACCGTTTTGGCTGTGCAAGCTTCCCTTCATGCTGCTACCACAATGTGCCTTACTGAGTTGAGGGCAACCGCCCCTAAGGGGACAGGGTAATTTGTTTGCCATCCCATGATCTCTCTGCTGAGACTGCTGACTAGAAGGCCAGTTGTGGTGATGGTTTTTGTATCTGGAAACTGGATTGAGGCCACCAACTAATTTCACGACAGGGCACTGACGATAGCTTTCAGTCCCTCCCAGCCTGGGCAGGATTCAAATAAACCTCAAGAGACTACAGGCTCTGTGTCCCATCTCTGATCTCCAGTATTATCACAGGGTCTCTCTCTTTTTTTTTTTTTAAATGTTGAATAGGCCTCTTTATTCAGTGCCTCTCTTCCCTTCCTCCTTCCAGATTCTAAAACCCTCAAGTGCCCACTCTCCAATCAAAGAGAGATCACGAGGCAAGTCACTGTCCCCTCGCCGAAGGCAAGTCAGCCCTCAGAGACGGGTGTGCAGAAGAGACAAATCGTGAGTATTTCTGCTTTGCTACCGCTCATGTGTTCTTTTTGAGCTGATGCCCCATTCGTTGTTGGATCAGGAACTCAGCGTAAGGACACAGTGAAGCCAAACTATGGATTTGGAGGAATATTGGGATTCATCCGCCATAGCAGTTTCTCTGTTTGTGTATGCTACAGATATTCTGGTTAACTCTCTGGCTCTAGCTGTCAGTGCTAATAGCATGGTGGTATTGTGCATGGTCTTTACGTGGTCTCTTAAAACAGAGCTGCTGGAGGGACAGAGTTTGTATCGTGGGCTCTATACTGCTAGAAGCTAATGGAAATTCTCATAGAGGTCAAGTGGTAAGGGTCTGTGCTTTTGGAGTCAGAGGATGTGAGTTCTAGCCATGTTGTTGTTGGAGTGAAGTTCTCAAAGGCCATGCTGTGTAGCAAAATGACACCTAGGAAGTACCTATGTGGCCACAAATTAGTCACTATTTATGATGAGCACCTTTTAAGTAAGTTTCCAGAGGGACTGTTGGTCTAATTCTTTGTTAGCAGCTAAGAAAGAAGTTAGACTGACTTTCTAAATCTATTTTAATGCGGGTAGCAGCTGATGATTTAACAGCAGGTTTACATTTTACACATAAAAGAATATTCTATCTGCATCATTATATTTTGGGCCCATCCGCAGGGGCTCCAGTCCTCATTTAGTGTCTGGATAATTATAGTAGTTAAAGGCCCTGCCACTCCAGGCACTTTCCCTTCCCATATACTCCTTGAGGGATATTTTCATCTTTGGGTTTCTAACACTGCTACCGCAGTTGTTCGAATGGCACAGATGTTCATTCTGGAGAGGAGTGTCAATGTTGCTGGCTTTACAAAGAAGCCTCAGGCTTTCCGAGAGCCAACTGCTGAGCAAGCGTCAGCTGCACAGCAACCTGTTCCCTTCTTATTGCTTAATTTATGTAATATGAAAGGACAAGTGAAATAAAAGTAGTCTAGCTTTGACCCACTGGAGTCACGTGGTGACTCCATGGGCTGCAGTGTCTGCATTTCCGCGTGAAACACACACACCTGCCCGGGACCCTACTCTTGCACGGTGTTCTTTGTGCTCCATCTCTAATGGTATTACATATAGTAAAATAAAGCCTTGGACTGTGTAATGACTTGTAACTAGACAGCAAAGCTAATTAGAGCAGGGAATGGAGACTCCTTGCATGAGATTTCATTCCTGCTCCGGCCCCACTAACTGGTGGCATAAAGGAGGGGCTCTGAAGTTCTGCATCCAGCTATGGGGAGGATTCCCTCAGCACAGGAACAGGGAAAGACAGCTGTAAGACTGCCTTCTGAGCCTCCCCTCACCCCCCAAGCGCTGCCTAGAGGGCATGCAGCAGGAGGCAGTGTATTGGGGACTGGGCTGCAGCATGTAGTGCTGTAGAGATTCCAGGCAGTGCTGTGGTCCCCCAGGGCAGAGCGGACTTAGGGCATGTCTTCACTTTAACATAGTTGTGTAGTCGCGGCATATAAAAAACCCCACCTCCATGAGGGGAATAGCTCCCAGTTCTGTAGCACTGTCTACACTGGCACTTTACAGCGCTGAAACTTGCAGCACTCGGGGGTGTGTTTTTTTCATACCCCACAGCGCAGCAACTTTCTTGCTCGGAAGTGGCAGTGTAGACAAGGCCTTAGACCGATTCCATGGGAGAAAGAGGAGAAGAAAAGTCGCCAACTGTGATTAGGTTTGAAATGTCTTTATTTACATAGGCTAACCATCCAAAATTACTATTGACCTGAAGTCCGCCAGTAGCCTGCAGCTGCCATACCATGAAGGAATGGAATGTAGATTAACTGGACATACTATATGAATGCCATACCATTCAGCCTGGAATGTAGATTAACTGGACATACTATATGAGGAAAACCTCAAGAGCTGTATGTGTGCACACGGCGGCCTTCCTAAATCTGTGTGCAGTCTACCTGGGCCTTTCCACAAGGACCAAGCTGTAAGGGTTGATCTTGAACAGAGGCACCTTTCCACCATCAGAGAAAGAGAATTTCAAAAATGTTAAATGTGGATTCCTAAATCCATATTCAAGCACCTAACTATGTCCTGCTTTTCAGAGGTGCACAGTACTCGCTGCTGCTCATTGACTTCTAGGGGAGTTGCAGCCGCTCCTTTGGAAAGCAGGCCTCTTAGTAAAGATGCCTGGACATGCCTGGTTTAGGTAAAGGTTGAAGAAGCTGCTGTTAAATGATGCTCCTTCCCATCATTATACAGTCTGTTTACACTAGAATGTGATTCACTGTAGTCACCAGGAGCCAGATTTTCAAAGGTGTTTAGGTGCCTAAAAATGAAGATGGGCACGTAGTGGAATTTTCAAAAGCACCTCGACTGCTATCCTACTGATGCCTATCTCTGTCTTTAGGCACCTAAATATTTAAGTATCTGGCCTGTGGAGACTGACTTTGCTCTCATTTACACTGGGGTAACTAAGCCAGTGGAGTTACATTGGTGTAAAACTGATGTGAGTGAGCAGAATCCAGGCCTTGTTTTAAAACCACACTAACCCCTAGGACACTGACTGACTCGCAGTTATGGTAGCTTGGGCACTGGCCACATTCCTCTTTTCAGCCAAGCCATTGTGGAACTGCCCTGCAGATGGTTCTGATGCTGTAGATCGCCTCTTGTTGGGAGACCATCCCTTCCAATTCCAGGAGCCCCTTGCTTTCTGAGCCTGCTCCCCTCTGTGGCCAAACGACTCTTGGTTCCTGCCTATTGTAACTGGAGCTATCAGACTTGAGACGGGAGGGAAGCGAAGGGGCAAAGAGGTGAGTTTAGTGCCACTTAGAAAGTGACTTGGGAGGACTGATGGAGAGTATGCTGGTCCTGTAGGGTTAAGAGGTTTCCAAAGGTTAGTTAATGCAGGGAAGGAAATACATAAAGGAAACTTGTGCACTCCCCCTTCTTTTAGCTGGGAAGAACCTAGCTGTTTTGAGATGGCCTCAAATTTATTCATCTAGCAAAAAAAGATGTTTAGGCACCTGTGCTCCTAACCAAACAGTGAACAGCTAGAGAGTGGATATGGGCATTGTACATCTTATCTCTTTATGAATCTCTTATTTGCATGCTCTAATTATAGCCAATTACTGAGTAGAGAGGCCCTTCATGCCACACAATACCCATCCTAGGCTGAGCTACATTATTAGCTGGTAGAGACTGAATAAGATCCTCGCATTCGCTGGAGAGGGTTCACCTGCTAATGGCAAGCTGTTATTACAGACTGCTCTTTGTCGACAATAAAATTATATAGGTCCCTCCTGGGAAGAGACTCAGCGTACTGAAGCTGAAATGTTTTCACTACAGCATTTTCCTGAGCTCAAGAGCTGATGTGTGACCTTCCGTTTCTAGGGGGATTATATACATCCCAGAGGCACTGTAGCCTCACAATTGAATAGATGTGGGGATGGGGGAAGGAGGGCCAGACCTGTGGGGTTGCTGCCCCCTCTGCAGGGATGGGGATGCTCTGCCCTGTGTGCAGCTGGGTGGCTGCTCCAGATCCCGTCTCTCTGAGCTCTGGCCCCACCGCCGGTGGGAGTAGTACCTCAGACCCCGCTCCTATCTCTGGGCTCCTGGCCTGCTGGGTTGCCTCAAGCCCAATTAAATGAATCCAGTGGCAGCAGCAGTGGGAGCTGGGCCCTGCAGGGGCAGGCATGAAACCGGAGTGGTGCTGTGACCCCATGTGCCAGGTCTCAACATCACTTGGTCAAATTTGGCCCAGCAGCCATTCTGTCATGACAGAAGAATGGCTGGGCCAAACCTAAGTGTCCCTTTGCAGTGCACCCAGTGCACATGCATTAATCCTGATTTTTGTGAGTTAAATTGCACCCAGGGGTTCCTGCTAGAGCTGCCCAATCTCTACCCAACCTTTCACCTGCATGCTAGTGCTTAATAAGCCCACATTGTGTGTGCAATGCTGTGGATGCACCAATGGAGGGAGTGTTCTGAAATGTTGGCTCCTATTACATTGTTGGGTTCAGGCCTTTCACAAGGACAGGGTACCTCCAGCCCAGTGTAAACACATCCAAATAGAATAGCTTCAGTTCCTTCCATTGTTCATTACAGTTTAATGAGTTTTTTGTATTTTCCTAAAAGAGCAGAATGCTAATCCAGGCTTTCAGAAGATAATCTTGAGTTAATTCAGTGCATTTACTATAGTTACAAGTGAAATACAATAGGGATAGATTAATCCATGAAAACGTCTAATTAGACAATCTAGCTGGATGGAGCCATGCAGAAGAATCTCCCCCATTACTTAGTTTTGCACTGAAAACCTCTCAAACAGGAGAGTTATTTCAGATTAATTTTTAGTTTTATTTAAATTAGAGCTTAATCCTGCAGACACTTACTACTGGATATACAGCTTGCTACAGTGGAGGCCGAGCACTATGCCAGGCACTGTTTGCAGGATCAGGCCTTTGTAGTCTGATTCACATCTCATTTTCACTGGCATAAATCTAGAGTAGCTCCACTGAAATCAATGGAGTTATACCAGTGTAATACTGATATAAGGAGAGAATCAGGCCCATATTCAGTTTAAAGCCACACAGTGGTACATATTATTTAATGATACATTTAAATAAAAAGCTATATGTTGATGTTTTTTTATCCTTTTGGAAAATTTTACAAGGATAAAGCAAAAAAAAAAAATCCTTTAAATTGTAAGGTGTTGCCTTAGCACATGATGGTCCCTTGTTTGGTTCTGTTCTTTCGGCTCAACCCAAAGCAGAGGGGCTGGTAATTTTGATTCATCTGTATGAAACTGGAAACCAGTGCTTCATTTTTAATCTGGGGAAGAGTTAGGGACTGGATGTAATGCAAGAGTCGGCACCAGTAACTGTGCTGCTAAATGTCCGCTCACAAAATATATTGTCTTCTCAGCTAATATTACGTGAAATTTTAAATGCATGTTAGGTGAGTGTAATAACGTGCATCTTTAGTGAGACTGACTTTGATTAGACATTGACAGGAAAACTGTAGTGGTTTTAGTGCTGTTCTAGAAGCCTAGAGATTGATGTACTTCATTAGGATATACAAGGAGACTTTAAAGCAGTATTTTAAAATACCTGAAGATGTTTCACAATCAGTATGAACTGAGGAGCTGGTTCGTGCCTGTGGCTGCCATTTTAGTCACAATTCCAACAGGAAATGCAGCCTGATGGACATGTTAGGCCAGGAAGATCAGAGCTGCTCAGACAGTATTTATATAGCACAGTTACAAGGCCTGATTGTATCCCCATAATCCACATGGAAAGGACCCTCGGTGCAAGTGACTCCCCCACCATGGGAAAAGAAAGGCGGCTCTGATGCCTCCATGTTCATGTTCCCCTGCCCTTTCCCCCAAGCCTCATGTATGTTGCAGGTACTGGGATTCACAAACAGGAGGGCTGGTGGGAATAGGCAGGTTGGTAAGAGGTGGGCAGGCCCAAGGGAATCATTTCCCCCTCCCCCACGACTTGCAGAAGAAAATTAATACAACTCCAGGCTCTACTGACCCAACTGCTGCGATTCCCCCTTTAAGGCTGTGGAAGCAGAGCCAGGGCGTTGGCCTTCATGGACACGGAGCTGATCTCCCACTGGCTGTCTGGGGTCTGCACAGGCTCTGGGAGATGGAGCTATGGCTCTATCCTCTCTGAAGGAATATGTGAAAAACCTCAACAAAAACCTTGCAGAGACTTTCTCAAGCTTAATCCCCTCATAGGTGATTGGGCCCATAGTTAAGACACTTTCCTTTCTGCAAAGTGTTTAAAAGCTAAATAGGACACAGGGTAACCATTCAGAAGAGGATTCAACTATTTATAAAGCTAGTTGTAGAAAGATTAATGACTAAACAGTTCAATTTGTGAATAGTTAAAGGAGCATTAGCTACTCGCAATAAGGTTCCCAAATCTCAAAAGCTATATGAATTCATAGTAGAAATGTGTTATTTTCTGCCCTCACCTTCAATGGTGCAACACTCTTAATCAAAGAGCAGAAACTATGCATCTCAAATGAACAGCTAATAGTCAAAAGTGAACTGCTCCAGTTACAACTCCATTGGAAAGTTTTGTCCAAACTAAGCGGCAGAGAGAGAGTCACAGGAAAAAGGACTGGTTAGTAAATGATATGCCAACCAAAAAAGCCCGCAATTTTATTGATCCAATTCATTAGAGCAGGTTAAATAGTATTCACCAGAAAAAAGGAGATGTCTGAAGAGGTTGACTTTTAACTTGAGAGCATCTCTCTTCTTCTCACTTTTCTAAATAAATCCTGCATTTTTCTGAAATTATTTTTGCTGTTTAATGTTTATATCTATGTAATGCTTAAATCCTTGCAAAGGAGCGGGCAACGCACAGGATTTACCTTTAAAGGATTTACCCACAGTTCCCCAAGTCTCTGCATGCAGCTCTGATCTTCCTGCCATCACAATGTGAAGATAACATGGATGCTTTCTGCATAATTAGTTCATTCAACAAAAAAAGTTTTTACGTTAGATTAAGTGACAAGAGACTTTGTTCCATTAGTTTCTTTTTTGCAATGGTGTTTTCAATTGCACAATCTCTGTGTCAAAGAAATGCTGAACGCTGACCACCTCTTCCCTCTTTCATTGCAGGCCTGCAGTGATGGACAAGAAAGGGGGTGATCTCACTACATTGAATGAAGTGGGCTATCAACTACGCATCTAACAAAGCCATAGGCCAGATGGAGGGCTTCCATGGTGCTTCTCACTGCACATTACCCTATGCTCCGTTGAAAGAAAGGGGGGGTGGGGGAGAAGAGAAACCGGGACTATTTATTAAGAACTTGTGGATTTTATTTAAAGTTTCATCTAGAAAATAGAAATTCTAGAATGATGGCAGTATTATTTTTTTAAATTCGTGACATCAATGAAAAACTAAATTATCGACAGGATTTCTTCCCCTCATCAAATAGGAGGGAACCACTGTGTGTTTTTTTTTTTTAATTAAATAATTGTTTCTAATCTATTTAATTGGCTTTTAATATTGTGCTCCATTAGTAGTATTAGGAGTGGTGATGAAATATTTCTCGTTAGTGTTAACGTGCTGGGGTGCAGTCGGTTTAAACATCAAGTCAATATTAATTTTTATTCAGCAATAAAAATAGCAGTGCAGAGGTGGATGTGACTTTTTAAAGTGTATTACCTCAGTATACAAGAGATATGCAAAATTGACAATTTTAATTTTATAACCAATTTGTACTGTTTTCCAGCATTTCTGGGAGTACTATGTAACTGCATTAGATGTACCCCGCCACTCTTTATTATGTGCATGCCTATGAAAAAGTGTAAGGTTTGATGCAAGTGTCTTCTTGAAAGCACTGCTGTCTTAGAAATACAGAGAACCAGTTGAGGTTTCTGTTTGGGTTTTTTAATAACTGACCAACAATGAATTTTTAAAATTTCATAATTTTTTTAAACTTTGTCACAAGCTTTTAAACTTTGCAGACTACAGTGTTAAAGCACAAGACCTGGAGATCATTGTTTTGTAGAGGCTAGCATTTGCATTGTATTAACAGTCAAACTGTGTGTTCAGTCTCAGACTCACAAGGAAATGTCAGAATCAATAGGCTTCCTTGAGAGTTTATTTTTCTATCCATATTTGTGTGTAATTTTGAATCATTTTGTCTTTTGAAGGTTAAACAGTCTAAGGTGGTGATGCCTTTGTGTCTTATATTAAGATCAGACATCACAACTTAGTTAGGGAAGGTTCTCCTTTATATGCATTACAGTGACCTTTAAAAAGAGATTCTTGTTAGAGTAGGCGTAGCAATAATGGTTGATTTTTCACATATTTTTCAAGAACAAGTTTGTTTATTCCTCCATCCTTATGGTGTCCTTTTGCTGATGGATTTAACTAGCACTACGGATGTATGGCTGGCTTTTCAAACCAGCTGAGCTCCCATTTAGGGACCTAATGGAAGTAGTCAGATTTTTGAAGTGGCCAGATTTTCAAAGTGCTCAGCACCCAGGAGTTCTCATTGAACTCTGGGAGTTAGTGGGTGAGGAGTACTTGAAAGTTTAGCCACTTCATTTAGGTACATATATGGGAGCTGAGCTGTTTTGAAAATCTAGCCTGTACACGGTAAGTCATGCTTTTTAAAGTTTTAAAAAACAAACAAGCCAGAAACATGGGGCACTGGTGCCTTTTGTCCTTCGGATTTTCTGAGGAGATGAGGTGGAGAGGTAAAGAAGACGACAAACATAATACTTACTAGAATCTTACTAAGGCATTTGGGCTTTTGGAACACTGTGAATGAGCCAGTGATGAAATGGATACAGAAGCAGATGCCAACAGTAATTTGAAGAAAACATAGTCCTGCATGGGAAAGCTTTTCATACTGTGTAGTGGGCAAATACTTAGATAGCACAGGACAAGATGACGATACAAAATAAGTGTTTCTGTTATAAACGTTAATATAGCTTCCATTAAATATAGCTTTCGGTTTAATTCCAGTTATACATGAGACAATTCAAAAGACTCCAATATACCTCTATCATACGAGATGTATATGAATAAAGCTTTAATATTGTGAGAAGTAGGAGCCCCAGATTTTTAATAAATATTTAGCTGTTAAAGAGAAGTCAGTCCCCAAAGTTGGAATCGGATTTTCCATGACCTTGCAGCTTGCGTAGTCATTTTTAGATGTGCGTGGTGTAAGCACGACTACTCACTCTACACAGGTGTGAATGCAGGTGCAAGGTCATAGTCATTTTGGTGGGGCAGAGAGAGGTGAATTTTATTATAAAGTAAAAGTACTAAGGCAGTTGATTTACTGTAATGTCAGATGGAAAAATTTCCCAAGCAAGCTATTGCATAAACACTGAATAATGTACTGATCTGTTGTCTGGCCTTTCTTATGCCTGGAGGAAGAGAACATGACTTTATAAAAAGTCGTGGAATTTTTGCAATACACAATCGTGAAGTAAGCTACAAAATGACTGCCAGACTGGGGGCCCTTAATTTAGTCTCTAATCAGCCCTGGCAGGTCCTGCTGCAATTGAACAGGGCTCCACTGAAACTGGCTAGGTTTGCTGCAGATATGTTTGGAGCTCATTGCAAGCTTGAGGCTATGTATTTCCCCACTCTTTTTAGTTCCCTTCCCCCCCCCCCCCCAATACCAAACAGACAAAAACCAGCTGGTAATTTCTTTTCCTAATTCACATTTCATTTTGGTTACTCAAAACGATTCCCCCTCTGTCTGAAGAACAGCAGCGGTGATGATGACCTGACTGAATTTAGAGGATTTCCTTTTCCTGAGTTCTGGAGAGGGTTCCTTGCAGTGAAACATCATTACAGCCCACAACCTTTTTGTTTTGTGTATTTATCAAGTCTTATTTGCTTTAAAATAGGTTTTGACTAGGATGGGGTTTGGGGGGGGAGGGAGGAGGTTAAGTGCCGGGGTAAAGAATGGGAAAAATCATGGTTTGTATTAGTGTAAATTTTTAAGCCATTATGATTATCAATAGAATTTCAGTTCTAAAATATGTACTGCTCAGTGTTTTGTGACCTTGTAAGCATCAGCCAACTGTTAGCTTACACAACAGGTTCCTCATTAATGAAGTGATAAGGAAAAGAAGGTTTAGTTAAGCAACAGAAGCCTTGATTTTAACTGCACTTTGGTGCCATTAGAATATACTTGATTTTGAAAAAAAATGTTTTTCTACAGTACCCTGCCTATTTTGCATTTCTTCCAACTTGATGATGCGGTTTTACCGGCATCCAGAGTATTTTAGGTTACATGGTTTATCTGAACGTCTAACTTACTACACCGAAGCTTTTCTAAGCTATAAAGCTGTGACAAATTATTTTGTACCTGGTTTGTTTTGAAGTAATTTTATTCATTCTCTTTAAATTTGCTCTTGCACTTGCATTTTTGTCTTACCTTTAAAACTGATTCCAACTGCCTGTTTTTCTAGCTCATTGCAAACTTGTCAAATGGTATTCTAGAAGAATACATGTGCATGGTTCCAGGTCTTGCTTTTCTCATCACTTGTATGTTTATGTGCAGCATGGAACTTTAATAAAATGTCTTGGTCTTTTTTTTAATAGCCTAGTATCATGTTTGGAAGGTGTATTAATGTACAGGTAGTAGTAGTATGAACTAAATTATATAGTCATTGTGGGGAAAGTGTTTTTAAAGCAGTCACTCTTTGATTCAGTCATTGTAGGCTAGTAACACCAGAATGGAGGAGGGGTTAATGCAAAATTTCATAAATCTCCAATATTAAATCAGCCAACCGCTATTTGGCACAAAGTAACCTAAGCATTAAGCCCTTAATCATATGGTGAGTTCTTGTTTCCCCTAGTGATGGCACCTGCCAAGAAACTGAAAGGAGACAGTATCATACCCTTGAAATCTCTCTGCGGAACAATAAACACCACTCACTCAGCATCTTTCATCAGTACCGAATGCTACATCTCCCCCTTAGCAGCTGCTGCTGCTGCTTTACTGTCAGGGCAAAGTCTCTGCTCTATCCAAAGCATTGTCACCAGTTAAGAACTGTCCCTTGAAGAGAGAAGTAAGTTATTCAGGTTCTTTGCTAATAATGTGCTGATGAAGCAGAACAGTATTAGTGGCCTTGTTGGTTTAGATTTGGGCAGGAGGGAAATAGGGAATGTCCTTGAGGCATGCAGGTGGCTTCCTTCAACACCTTGGTTAACTGGCTGTTAAGATGTAACAAGCCTTCCTTGATACAGCCTGCATGTAAGTACTCCGCAGTTCTAGCAGCACCAAATAGCTATCTGTGAGATAAAACTAGGCTAAGCTTTTACTTTCACTTTCTGAAGTGTTTGGCTTGTTAAATTGGTAAACAAACAATAACATCTTTCAAAACTGTGACCAGATACAGACTAGCACTATACATAGTTCATCCCTTGCCTTGGCTCCACTATCCTGTAGGGATAGAAGAAAGAACTGTGTGTGTTCAAATTCAGATTTTTAGGAAGTTTTCACTGTCCTTGCTTGTTACCCTCTTTCTACCAAACCAAGATTATGCTTTGCAGGGCAGGGAGGTGGAATGGAGGAGGAAACTCAATTTTTCAGCATGAACATTTTTTTTCTTTGAACTATTTTCTGTTTAAGTTTGTCTGGTCTACAATCCCTTGTATGAACTAAGAGGTCAGTATGGATTACAAAAGTATGGGTGCTGGTGCTGACAAGTATGTGCATTGAGTGTACCAAAACCTGAAAATGTTTCGGTATAGCTAGGGCCTTGGCTTGTATCAGCACTGCCTGTTACAAAGCCACAAGTGGAGGGTTCAAAAAGAACAGGCCTTTAGGAAGAACTAGAAGCCACTCGCTGGCAGAAGAAAATGAGATCTCAGCCTACCCCTTCCCCTATGAAGTCAGGAGTTGGGAAGAAAGTGTGTATCATACAGTGTTCCAGCCTGTTATGCAGCAGCCTAATGTTGTGTGTGGCGTTAGTGGTGAGTTGCGATGCATTGCTAAAATTGTACGGGGAGGAGCAGTGTTGCAGTCAGTGATAAGGTAGCTCTAGTTTTTCATGCCTGACTCTTGTTTTCAGCCATTAAAATGCAAGAACTCTGCCACTAGTTGAGCCTGAGCAGTGGCTTAGCACAAGTTGTGCCAGCTCAATAAGTGTGGGACAGGTGTGACAGTTGAAAACGTAAGTATGTTAAAGATAGGTGGTATATAGCCTAACTGTCAAAGTCTGCCCATCTCTTAGTTGGGGGAACAGGCTGTATGTGCAACCCCATCATCTTGTAGGGTTGTTAGGAAGGTCATGGTTTTTATTGTAACATCCTTATTAAAATAATTACAACTTAAATTGATTTAGCTTTATCATATGAATTGTAGATAGATAAAAGCTGCCATACTGACAGAGCTCCAGCTTCAGTGGAAATCTTTAGTTTCCCTTAGGCAGCAACTATTTTTAGTGAAAATGTTTCAATTGTCTTAATGTAAAGGATATTCAAGGAGCTGTAGAGTACTTAGCACCACTGTTAAACACCATGTGCAAGTCAGAGTCAGCTGTTTGCCAGAAACTCTAGCACTATTACATGAAGAGTAAAAAAGGGTGTAGCTCTCACCCTTTCCTCACTTCAATTATATAAAGCTGGAGACTTTCTGAGTGTTCTTTAAACACCACAGCTGAACCATTTTAAAAACAGGTAAATTTATCAAATTCTACCCATAGCCACCTTTTATTTAAAAAAACAAAAAACCCTCCACCATGAATCAGAGTACAAGTGTGTGGAGTGCAAAGCTCATATGTTCAGGCATTGACATATACACAAACAGACTAATACGTGCTTCTGTGATATTCCATGTACAACCTCTACTACTCTCCACGAGCACTAGAATTTTCACTGTTTACTGATCTCCCTTAATCTGTCCTCGCAGCAAAAGAAAAAAATGAGGGTAACAAACAAGGACAGCGAAAACTTTCTAAAAATCTGACTTTGAACACACTAGGTCAGAGACAATGAACCAGGCAGAACAACCAATAAGCTTAGTGCTAGGCTCTCTTTTCCCATGTACTATGGAGCACGTTAGACCCACTGAAACAAAGTGGGAATTACTGTCACTGTTAATTGATTATATAATCTAATAACTCCAATTTAAGAGGTGCAGTAGTTATGGGAAAGGCAATGGAAGAAGGAGCTGAACGAGTGCTTTGGAAGACAACATGGGGATGTTTGCAGGAGAAAGCAGGTGCCACCAGGGGTCCTTTTGCTCCTCCAGAGCAGGGGATAGAAGTCCCAGCCAGCAGCAATCTTTTTCTCCCACAGTGACAGTACTTCAAACCTTTCTGCTATCTACCCTTGCTCCTATACAGATCATCCACATGCAGCACTTATACAACAGGCTGAGAAGATGGCCTTTTCAGATTTATCTGGTGCCAGATATTTGTGACATTGTCACTAAAAGTTAAGTTATGCAGCCATTTGCCTGGCAGCATAGCTGCATTTACTGGCCCCAGAGCTTAGAAGCTTTAACCTAACCCACATAAAATCAGGTATGCCAAGAAGTATCTCCTGACTATTTTTAAATAAAATAGCTAGCATTGTTTTTCTGCATTAACTGAATGGATGGCTATAGAGCCAGACAGATTAGCTCACTGTGCAGATAGATCCTTAAGTCACAATCTAGTTAGCAAAGATCAGAGAAAAACCATTCAAGCAGAACCAAAACTCCAATCACCCCAAAACATTAAGTCTGAATTATGAGTTCAATCAACTGGACTGTCATTGGCCCCACATTCCTCTGAAATAATGTTTAGCTTAAGTCTCAGAATATAAAATGACAATCAAGAAGATGGTTATTCTGTAATTAAAATAGTAAAATTAAAGTTAAAATACAGAAAATGGGACATGAAAGTGGACAGAACATAAATGTTTCTGAATTCAGCTGCTTATTGGAATATAATGATCAAGTAGAAGTTTCAGGTTTTTTCTAGCAGCACACTAGTGACAGCAACTCTATTTAGTAATTATACTTCTGTTCATTAAATTCTATGAGATAGGTATATCTCCATATAACTGGAAGGGACCTTGAAAGGTCATTGAATGTATGGATCTGTGTGTGATTGAGTTAAGTCACAAGAATTTCTGCTTGTCCTCCTCTCAGCCAAGAAGTTTGTTAATGTAGTAGCACATTAAGGTTTCATCTGTAAGTCATCGGTGTTTTGCAGGGTATGCTGTGTCATGGTGTATTATGAAACTGAACATGAGGGAATCTTTAAATGCTGAATATTCTGGAGCTGTAGTAATGTTACAATATTTAAATGATGAATGCATGAAAAATAGCCTCACCTATTCCATAAACACTTCCAAAACCTCAAAAGGTCTGACTCCCAGATAAGTCTGTTTAAAACAAACAAAAAGTGTTTAAACATGAAAGCTCCTTCAGAGCTACCTGTGCTTTACTGCTCTGTGTTCAGATACCACAAGTTGCCTACTTGGTTTCATTTCAGATTTTTTTAAAGCTTCTGCAAATCAGCAAAACATGTTATACTCTTGTAAGATTAACCATTACACAATCACTTTTTAGAGCATAACTAATTATGATACTGCAAGAATAGGCCCAATCCGGCTGCCCTGGCACTAGCTAAATTCCTGCTGAGGGACTCCAAGATTGTGCCCAATATTTAGATAGTTGGGGAGGGCAACAAAAGCAACTTGAAATAGAATACACTTGAAACTACATAGATACCTACTTTGAGCTCATTATGAAGGTTGCTACAAACACACAATCTTTTGCTTGAAGGATTGAGAGAAATACACTGTACTTAAGAACCATCACCCATTTTACTATGATTTACAATAAAAACATTTTTAAAAAATAATGCCTTTTTCAGATTATAGCACAGTCATTTTCCATTATCAAAAAGAGGAAGCTAATGTAAACTCATTTCTTTTTGTCTTAATGACTCCACAAAGTAATTTGAGCAACTTTATAAAGAAATTATTTAAAAAATCTACTTTACACAACACTAAAAATTCAGCATGCAGGCATTACTTTAACCAGTCTGGAAGTCCTTGAATTAAAAAAAAATTACAGGAAGAAGAGACGCTGAAGGAAAGTGCAGATATAAAAATAATTTGGGAATTATTCTTCAATAAGCCTGAACTGAGCTAGTAAGGACAGGTGATCAGAAGAGTTATGTTCATTGGGAAGACCATTAACTGTCCACAGATCTTGCTCTGTTAAAAGTGATAATCTACCAAGAAGCTTCAGACTTCCATCAAAAGTATCTTCGGCTCCTACATAAAAAGAAAAGAAGAAAAGTATGTGCAGAAAACACATAGTTGTGAGCCAAATCATACATACCCACACCCACCTTATACATGGAAGGAGGTCTCCAACCTGGGCAGAGTGGCCTGTGATGTCTTAATACAACGCTTTGGTAACAATGATGCTATACACATCACTTCACAGCTGATTATATCCACTATGTTTTGTGAGAGTTAAGATTGTTCTATACGTAACAAACAAACAAGTCCTTTGACACAGTAACTGTCGCTTTATCCATGAAAAGAAGATAGTTTAAGAGCTTCCCAGCTGAACAGTTTCACCGAACTCCCGGTCTTCAGCAAGCCAGCAGCTACTGTGGGGCTCCATGAAACTACTCAGCTGGTTCAGGAACTTCACTCTTCAAGCAGCAGAACAGCTTTGCAGAGCTCTAACAAGCCAGCAACTCTGACTGCATTGAAGACCAGCCTAGTCACTGTGAAACTGTTCAGTCAGCTCAGGAATACTGCACAGCCTCAGCACAGATCCTGAACCAGTTGAACTTTTCATACACATCCTGGTCTTCAAAGCTACAGTTGCTGTGGCAAAGATCCTGATCTTCATGGATGAAACTATTCAGCTGGTTCAGGAGTGCTGCTGAACTGTCTGAACAGTACCACAGAACTCCTGGGCTACAGCGACCCAAAAGCTGGGTCTCAAACTGATTTCCCTCAGCTAAGCTAGAATAAACCAACAGCTATGCAGTAAAACCCATTTTTGGTTAATTAATAAAATGACCTAGCTCCAGAGACCCCTCCACTCCCAAACGTACTATGTACAAAGTCTAGACTTTCTACAACCTGTAGTTTATAAGCTAACGAGGCCCAAAACATTACCAGACTTAAAATGCGAACTCATTATTAGGCCAATTTTTAATTTATTAGCACTTGGAAACTAATTAACCAATTTTCTTGAAACTACTCAGAAAACTAAAAGGATTTCAAGCAATATAAAAGGCTCATTATCCTGTATGATGCTGTAGGATGAAGCAAAGCAGATGGCCA